CAGAATAAATGAATTCTTATCAAGGCATATTTGGTGTTAGTGATAGTTTAAAAAGCTCTAACTGATAGTGGAATATCTTTATTTAAACACTATAATATTAATAAACGATCTTATTAACTATCGTTTTTTTTGGGTGATTCGAAAATAAAATTTAATAATATTTCGAATTTTTATCATTATTGAATATGAAAAAAAGATTGATTTGATACGATTGTAATTCATGCGAGAAAAATGATCTATGACGATAGATCTGTTTTGATATTTTTTTTTTATAGTGAAGAACTTCTTGATGAATTTTATAAGTTTTACTCAAATGATTTAGAAGTTATATCATTTTTTATTACATAAAATAATATTTTTTGATGGTAAAAAACATAAAGAATATAATGATATTGATGTAGATAAATAAATTAAAGATGAATATGAAGAAAATACAAATAAAACGAAGAAAAATAAGAAAATATGAACCAGAAAGTTATGAATTAATTCTATGGTTAAATCATTTATATGAATCAAAAACTTCAAAATTTGAAACTATAAAAATAAATACAACCTATTATGAATTAGATAAGTAGAAAAAAAGAAATAATTAATTCATGTTGTCAAAATAAATTTCAAGAAATTGAAATAAATAAAGAGAAACATTAACGAACATATATATACATTTATTGAACGATTGATTGCTGAATGTAATAATACAAATCGAGATGAATTTATTAAAAAAATTCATGAATTAAATGTATAAAAGTTAGTTTATAGTAATAATAAATATGAGATATTTATTTCAATTAAATAGTTAGTTAATGAGATTAATAATTAGTATTCTTATAGAGAATAGTCATGTTCTATACTTAATATAAGATCTTTATTTAAAAATAACATTAATAATACAGATCTATTATGTTAAACATATGATCAGCACAGAAATGACTTTCCATTTCTCAATCCGAAAAATTTTGATGAATTTTCTTCAAACTCTGTATTAGACAACTTTCTCAGACTTTTCAACTGATCTCTTTGCGATGTCCGTGCTGATCAATAATGATATATTTTCTATTTAAACTGGCGATAAGAATACAGAATTGTCGTGTCTTTTCTATAGCAAATAATTATCCATCTTTGATATGAGTTTTACAAACTTCTTCATTGATTTAGAAACGAAATAATAGTGCATATGATCTTTGTCTTTAAGCTAGATCATAATATCATTTGTTTATCTAGGATGTGAATGTCGGTCGGAGAGACAGCACACTCACACCCTCGAGATCTAGTCGTCTTGAAAGTTTCATAACTTTTCGTTGAGCCAGCCGTTCTCGAAAAATCCTGGAGATGGTCAGGAATCTCCTTAACAGACGGGGATTTACGATAACTATATAAAAGATCATCATGAAATAGTACAAAATAACGTGAAGATCAAGTGTTTACATGTTCACGTTAAACAAAACATTTTATTAAAAACTAAACTTCATCAAAAATAAAAATATCGGTTTATTTCGATATAAATTCGTATGCTTCAATGTTATTTCTAGTCATAAATACTTCGTTTATAAAACTAGCCTTCCTTATAAGCGGACTAAGTATTGATTACTAATTTAGTTGGACTACGTAGTTGACTTAAGCTTTTAGTAACAGGTTTTATATTGTTTTTATTTTCAATTAATTATCAGTCATAAATATATCTGAAACAAATATTTCTAATATAAACAAAAATAGTATTTATTATAAACATATCTTTTATTCTCATCAGTAAGCTGAAAACAATGTGAGAAAGATGAAAAAGTCGTATCAAGAAACTTCACAAGAACACATGCCAACTTAAAAATAGATGAAAACAAGTTGAATCATGCAAATAAATTTTCTTTTAAGAAGAAAAGGAAAATTTTTTAAAAATATTTCTGATACTTATCATGTATGTGATGATTTATTTCAATCATGATAAGTAATGATAAGTTTTTTTTTGTTCTTCTAATGCATTTATAAGTACAAGTTTTTCTGTATATTGACAATTCAAAAATAGTGTATTTGTACTTTTAAAATGTTCGATTTTTCAAACCAACAATATGATAAAATATTTTTTCATTTTTCATTTTCATGTAATATTTCATCGAATTTTGTTAATTGATTATGTAAATCAGCATATGTATACATATTACTTATTAATAAATCATACAATACTATGTGGTCATGTGTTATTATTATAATTGGATAATTAAATTTATTATTTGTTTCATTAAGGCCCCCCCTAAAAAAAAAGTCATTTTTCGTCAGAAAATAGAAAATTGAGATAAGTGCATGGGAAGATAGCCCGTCTTTCGCTGTTTCAGAAACACTATGGGTTTTTTGCCAAAAACCCTATTCTGACCGAAAATTTTGACGATTTCTGTAATGAGATGCATGTGAAATATGATTTTTTCTTAAAAAACATGAATTTGAATTTTTTCCTAGAGAATTAACATTTAGACGGTTTTTTAATATCTTTGGTGTGGCTGTTGGTGTGGATGTCAGTGCGTTAAGAGAAGACCCATACCCACATCCACATCCACCCCCACACCCCAATCTATGACGATGTTAGTAATCCTCGATCTAAGTATACTGGTGCTTACCTAAATTGCAGAACCCTGAAGAGTGTGTCAATATTTCAAATGAAATTAAGAGAAAACGTGTCAGCGAAATTCAATTATGTATTGTTTTTTTAATTATTTGAAGTTAAGTACAATTTTAATTCAGTTGTAAATTTGATAATCGACTAAAAATCAGTTGCTGAAACGCAAGAGTTGAGATTAGCATATTGATGTGTCTTCTCTGTTAAGAGATACAGTAGGGAGATCTGTTTTTGAATTGATTTGAATTGTCTTTAGTATATCGTTCTTTTCAAGTATAAACATGTAAGGATGTTCCTACTGTTCTATGTCATAGTTTCTTGTTCCTTTTACTCAAGGACATGTGATATGAATGAATAAAAAACAAGTAATCATACGATGACTTGAAGAAGAATCATAGCTTTTGTTTCAAATGAGCGCTCAACACGGCAAGAATTGTGAGGAAAAGACACGCTGTATCGACTCCCAGCTGACTATATTCTGATATAAATATATACTTGTTATCACTATGTCATCCTACGGAACGGAATTCTTGAACTGTAGTTTAATTTTTGTTTTTTATGAAAGCTCACATTTATTTTAAATTCAAGATTCTGGTGAAATTTCTGATTAGATCGTTTGTATTTGATTCAACTTTATTATAATGAAAAACATATTTAAGATATGTACCAATCTAATATAAAGTATAGGCTTAACAAATCGCAAATATTATGAAAAATCTTTTGAATTTATTTGAATAATTTCTATTGAAGGTTTTGTTATTTATGAATAAACTAACTAGTCGTATAAGTTTTTAGAAAATCATAGTAACCATTGAATAAAACATAAAGACGAATAATATTAAGAATTTCATTGAACAGGTTTCAGTATATGAAGACCTAAGAGCGACAAATATTTGTATATCATAGAATCAAATATACAATAATCATACCCAGAGTTGAAGAAGATATAGGTGGATTATTGCTTGCAGGAATATGATGAACACCATGTACTTCATTCAAGGCCTTTTTTAATTAAATATTATTTTTCTACCAGGATTATACGAAAAGATAAACATACCTGATATTCTACTTGATATACTGAAAAACAGAGACAAAGAAGAACAATACAAAATACAAAAAAGAAATCTATTTACCGATGTTTACATCCTCAGAAAGCACTTTTCGTGTAAATATCGCAAAAAGTTGTTTTGTTTTAGCTGGAATCACATCAACCATACGAAAAGCTTTTCGAGAAGATAAAACATTTCTTGATCCTTGAAAATCAGCTGTAAAACGAATATTTCTATTAGATTTATTTTCACAGATGAAACCAAAGCCTCTAAAGGAAAGTAAAAAAAAAATATATATAAAACAAAAATATATTTGTTAACCCATTATCATTAAATGTTAAAAGCGATACACCATCTCCAAAATCTTTTCGAACATTAGCTCGAATAGCAACTGCATGGAACGCATTACCAACTAATTCATGTGAAGATGGCTGTTCATTAAGAACAAAAGGTTGATCAGCATGTACAACCAAATTAAATTTTGGATATATCGAATAATTAACCACTGACATTGAGCCAGCTAATAGAATGTATCGACCAGCTGATACTGTTGTTGATAATGTTATGTAATAATCAAGACTATGTTTATATGTTTTACATGAACCATTTGAACTAAGTAGAATTAAGAAAAGATCAACATTGGGCTCCTTTAAACGATTATAGTATTTTCCATCACCAGCATTAAATAATTCAATATTAAGTTCAGCTCCATGTGGACAATCAAGCCAATAAGCTGATGTTACTTTAGAAGAAAAATCACTAAACTGACCTCTTTTACGAGCCTGCATTTCAAAACAAAAAAGTTTATTCTTAAAAATAAACAAAATATAAAACTAACTTTATGTTCATTTCCATTGATTTTACAAATAGTAATATCATCAAAAGACGAACAAATTTCTTCCCACGCTATGTAACAAAAAATGTATTGAAGAGTTTATGTCTAAAAACACGAAATAACTTATACATACGCATCCAGAAAGCACCATCATGCTCTGAAGATGTAGGAGGCTTTTCTTTCAGAATTCTTGGCCATTCTATCAGATTATTACTGACTGAACTATTCAGTTCTTTTTTACCCCATGGATTGCGTAAACGAACAAGTCTTTGAGAGCCAACTTGTTTTGCATCAAGAATACTATAGGCATGTTCTGACTCCAGACCTATTATAAAGAAATAAAACTTAAAATAGCGAGTGTGCTATAATAGTTAACTGATTTTCGTATTTCATATTTTTATTTTTAAATATTTCTTATTACAAAGCAGAATATGTCATCTAATGCAGCTTGAAAAGTTCTAAAAAGTGTAATTTATTTTGATTACGTAGTTTCTTTTTCAAAACAAGCGAAATTCCCTGGAATAAACATTCGACGCTGTGAAAAGTAGTCTAAAAACATTGGCTTATTTTACTCTTTGAATTTTTAGGGCTTTTCACGCTGTATCTTATGGTGTATTCTATGTTTTAATAAAACATTTCAAGATCAAAATATGAAATACAAAAGCCAGCTACTTATTATGGAACATTTATTGGTTCCATTAGAAAAAGTTATTTAATTTACCCATTAGATCAAAGACTTGATCATTTAGTTGATTATTCGAAGATACACATGTCATGAGATATCCTATTGAAATTATCATTTATTTAAAATACTGAAATTTCTATAGATTGTGTAACCTTTAGCTCTTGCTTGAATTATTTGACTCCATATATCATTAAGATTAGGTTTGTTTTTCAGATCAGTTGAACGTAACAAAAACACCTATAAAGAAAATTAAATTTATAATATTTCAAAAGATTAGCATTTTCTATTTCACTTGCTTCACATGGTTCACCAGTCAATGTTTGTAAACCTTCCACACATCTTCCTATGAATAAATCGTGAAAGAAAAAATTAATGGAATAATAATTGGTCGAAAATTTAGCCATATAAGATTAAGTATTTTTTTTGAAATCTAGGTTGAACTCTGAACTGTATCTATAGATTTAGGAGTTGATATCACAACATTATATACGTATATTCTAAAGCAGAGAGTATTCGTAGAGTAATTATAAGAACTTTCTGATTGTGTGTAAACTACTATAGCTGTTCTTTTTGTCTTTGTCAAACTCATTTATCTAAACTATCATCTTTCTCTAATATTAACTTATGAATATAATTAATGTTGATTAGCTTTCACATATCGCAGTTTGAACTGTTTTTCAAGAAAACTCTTGTATTCTCTTAGTGCAAAACTATCCGGCATTTATTGTGAACCCAAATAAATTATTAATTGATAGTTATTCTGCAAAAAAAAATAAATCTTCATACCGAATCCAAGAGCTTTATAGCTTCCATGCATTTTTGCTAAGGCTTTCTCAATTAATGATACAAACAATTGTTTTTTATGACTTCGTGCGAAGATAAGTGAATTTGATTCTGTTACAGGTAACATGTCATCAATAGTAACAACTTGCCAAATCCCTCGATTACATAAGCGTATTTTATAAAGTCCTAAAACGAAATTATCTAGATTCTTTTTTAATTAATATATTTATATGCTTATTTACCAGCTGGATTATATTGTTTTGTAATCATAATTTTATATAATATTTGTGGTATTTCAACAATTAATGCTAATGCAGAAATGAACCAACAATCACCAAGACGACCTTGAATAATATCTTTTGAATGTGGTTGATTGAATACAGTTAATTGATATTGTTCAGCATCGTTAGACCATCGAATGTGTTCAGGACGCAGCCTTAAGATAAAATGTATAATTAAAACATAAAAAGAAAATAATTTACCATCGTGCTACATTTGCTCGATATTCAAAATCGTCAAACGATGTTTCTTCATTGCCTTGTTTAATACTTCCAGCTATAGGTAGAAATTCCGGATCAGAGAATTTCCCATGAGTTATAGGAGTATTATCAACAGGTGAAAATGATTGACCAATATGTTTATTTGAAGAATAAAGATTGCCTTGTTTACCATAACAAAAACATAAAACAAATCATAATATAAATATTTTTTGCATATTTATCTTACGAGAAAGTAAACTACGATCGACATGAAGTGCTGATGAATTTGATCCAATAGCAGAATCAAAAGCGAAAGTAAGTTTTGGAAAATGAGATTGATGAAAATTAGCAATAATTTGTTGTTGTATTTTCTTCTGACGCTCCATATTTGGTTTGAGCATTCAAATCACTTGTCTACTGTTTAAATACATTCAGACAATTTGATTGAGGACGATCAGGCCTCTTATTTTCGCTGCACTTGCCCTGTCGATTAATCATCATAATGATGATCACCAAAAGCAGCGACAGGAACGAAGACACAAAAAAAATACGAAAACGAAGAGGGAGAGAAATGGAGAGAAATGAATGAGCATAAAACAGAAAAACTTACACAAGTATAAGAAAAGTAAAAGAAAAAAGTACGATTGTGAGGACTGCTAAAATAGCTGTACATGCATATTTGTAATATCATAATTTTTATTTTTTCAATACGGCTACTGTCTTCAGTTATGCAATATTTACCTTGTTCTTGATTAGTCATACAATTTGCACTTGTAAAAAGCATTTTTTTAATTTTTGACTGATTCACATGAAAGCAGTGTGTAATATTTTGTGTTTGATTCATCGATACAGTTGATATTTTATACGGACATAAATTTAGCCTTGATCTGTCTTTTGTAATAAAAAATAAAGAAATAAGGTTGCTCTGAAGCGAAATCATCGTCGATTTTGCTAATACGTATGGATGCATAGATTTGTTGTACTCAAGTACATGAATCCAATCGTATTTCTTGTGCACAAGCACAATCATACCCACAACAAGAACGAAACTGACAAAAAAAGCCTATCGTTGTGATCAATGTTAAGGGCAGAGGCAAATAAGAAGGCATTTCGGCCCATTTTAATTATTAATACTTAATCTGAATGAGTCGTACATAGGATGAATGATCTTAAATTATCGATTATATTGATATCGAGTTCGAGATGTTTTCATTAGGTTATGGGTATATACCGATTATATCTTTAACACATAGAACTTGGATAATTGAACATTTGTTTGTAAGAAAACAAGTAGAGTTAAGGTGTATATAAAAGTTATTCTAATAGATTCTTAGTTAGACTACATTGCTATATTAGAATCATTCATTTAAAAAAATCCTTTGATTTTAATAGATCGAATACAAATTGTTCTTTACTACATTCAGGCCCTATATTATCTATATGAATTACCTATACCGTTCAGCCATTCTATTAAAGAGACTATGTCTCACACTTCTTACATTTTCTGTTCAGTAGAGCTTTTCAAGCATTTCAAAACTAAATATGTTTAGGATGAGAATGAATAAGGCAAAGAAAATCATGACGTGTTTCGACTCTTTCTTGAACAATCTATTTAAGAGTTATAGTTGTTTTCATTTCTATAGAAAGAGACACGACTGAAAATACAAAAAAGTGTTATTTAAATATTTTTGTCTTTTTCTCTTGGATTATGGATTGTATGATTGGTCGTTTGATAACCGTCTTTTAACTGTTATTGTTTAAGAATATATTGAATAAAATACATGTAACATTTGCCTAAACTAAATGTAATATTACCTGATAGTAGATATGCAGTTTAAAACCAAATATATGATGCATAGTCAGGCACTCTCACATAGTACTTATGGTATAAATATGAGCTATAAACTTCACCTTTTAGATAACTAAAAGTAATAAAAAAAAAGGTGTACCGCTTATTTCTATTAGAGGAACATATTTTTTTTATTTTTTTTATTACCTAATTTTTGCGTGCTTTTGCCTTTATCATCTTTGTTTTTTCAAAATATATAATTGGCTTAATCACTCTTGAAATTCACAAAAGGACTCCAAAAAACCAAACAACAATGATAAGGAAGAGCACGATGATCTGTGAAATTCATGATTGGTCACAAATATCAAGAAAGTAAAAATTATGGACAACGTTTTCATCGTAAGCGAAGCTCAGAAGATGATAAAAAAGTCTATAAGTAAATACTATTCATTCAATACTATATGTGATATTATGCACTTAATTCAGGTATATCTCATGATCATCATAAATAATTGATTCATTCAAAACAAGAATAATCATTTAATCGCAAAAGTCAACTTTGCAGCAGATCGGCACATAATTATTTAAAAATGTTACTAGTACAAACATATTTATGAAATTTATGATTTTACTCAAAAAGAAGACATGAGAATTTTAGATGTGTTCAACATACTATTTTCATAGACTAAAGCAAAGATTTTGTACCTCATATAAACATTATTTTTCTTCATATTGTAATTTTGATAAACGTTGTGATCGACTGAAGTGTTTTGTTAAGACTCCCGTGAAAACAAAAAGAAGAGAAAATATATTTACATATAATATTAGGTAATTATTTTAGTCTTTAAAACTGGTGTGTCAAGTACATCGAAATTTTATAAGTTTTCTCTCTGCATAGGATTTTTATTAGTTAAATGTATTTCTTTCAACAATCTAAAAGCTACTTTTATATATATACTTCAAAATAGAATAAAGAAAAATATATTTGTTTCTAAAATAATAAATAGCTTTCAAATAAAATGACAGAATTTATATAAAATAAAAGTAATAACATAAAATGTTGATTGTATTAATGCTTACCATTAAGAATTTTTATCATTTATATGAATTCTGCAATATTTCACGTGATACTTTTTACATTACTTATTGTTAAGTGCTTTCCGAGTACTTTTTTTATTCTTTAGTATTATTCTTAATCCAAATAATTAGAAAAGTAGAAACTGGAAAACAAAAGAGTGCATTGTATTTTTTTTTAAGACAAACGTTCTTCGAATCAACAAAATGACACGTGGTGATTATATTTTGTTTGCTAGAGTGATGACTCAGAAAGAAAAAAAAAAGTGGGCCGCATGAAGTGAGCTTAAGTTGGCGTGAGCATAAGTTGAGTCCATTAGTCCATAGTATACCTATTTTCTATACATGATACAAAAATTTGTCAGTAGCTGTCCTTAGTTGTCGATGAAAAATTTTGAAAGTTTTAGATGATCTTCTTCATCATCTAATGGTTTATTATAAATCAAGAGGACTATTATTTGGAGCTACTTTGTGAAAACAGAATTGTATGGTACTTGTTTCAGCTGATAAATTTTTATTAAGAATAATACATTTAACACGGTGTTTTTATAATGACATTTTTATCTTGATTCTTGTTCAATTTGACGTTCATTCAATTTCTCGAAACTTTTCTAAGAGAAAACCCAAATCTTATCTAGAGTGTGGGTGTGGGGTGTACAGGAAAAGAACATACCCACACCCACACCAACGTGGGTAAAGTTAGGACCAGATTCGAGTTTTTGCCGTCCAGATTCGTTCGTGTACTTGAGTTATATTTCGTTCAACTTGAGTTAGATGCAGAATTTGACGGCGAATACGATGGTGTAATGATCAAGGAGGGTGGGGTGGGGGGGGGGATCATCAAGCAAAAACTAGCACTTGACCCCGAAATACTGAATTTTCAAATTTTTTTGAAAAGTATTTGCTGTCCGGATTCGCTATTTTACTTAAGTTGGGTCTAAAAATGGTCAAGTTGAATTCAGCATGAAATTCTGCATCGAATGATATCGATTTAGTACGAGGTCATCGAGCAAAAATTTTTCACCTCACCCAGCCCACACACCCTCATGGTGACCCTTACCCTCACCCATATGAAAAATTTTTTCCCGATGATCCCATACTACATCGATATCATTCGATGCAGAATTTCATGCTGAATCCAACTCAACCATTTTTAGACTCAACTCAAGTAAAATAACGAATCCGGACAGCAAAAACTCGAATCTGGTGCTACTTTTCTTCGTCTTAGGCTT